AACAGGATGCATCTTAAGAGCACACAAGCAATTGGCTGAGGTAATTGCAGGGCACTTGGCTATTATGTTTGAGAACTTGCGGAGATTGGGTGAGGTCCTAGATAACTAGAAAAATGCAAATATTGTGCCCAACTTTAAGAAAGTCAAGAAAAAATTCAGGTAATTATAGACCAGTCATTCTGGCCTCAGTACCTAGAAAGGTCATAAAGGTCATAGACCATAAATGGATCTATTTCTAAGTATCAGGAGGAGTATATAGTGATCAGGAACAGCCAACATGTGTTCATCAAGCGCAAGTCTTCAGTCTGACGAACTGATTGTCCTAGGAGACATTGCCTTCTATGGTAAAGTGACTGGCTCTATAAATATGATATAACTTGATTTTAGCAAAGCTTTTGGCATTATCATTAGTAAACTAAGAAATCCAGTCTAGATGAAAGTACTGTAGGTGGATACATAACTGATTGGATCATTAGTTAGATCATTACCTCAATCAGTAGTAATCAATGACTACATGTCTTATTGGGAGGAAGTGATTAATGGGTCTCCCCATGGGTCTGTCCTGGATCAGATATTGTTTAACCTCTTCATTAATAATTTGGAAGCAAATCTGAGAGGACACCAAGTTGGGTGGAGTTGCAGACACTCTGGAGATAGATCTAGGATTCAGAATGATCTGGATAAACTGGAGAAATGGCCTGAAATTAGCTGAATGAAAACCAACAAAGACAAGAACAAGGTCCTGCATTTAGGATAGAACTGTTACATGAACAAATAAAGGCTGGGGAATGGCTGGCTAGAAAGCAATACTGCAGAAAAAGATCTGGGGGCTATAGCGGACCATAAACTGAATACGAACCAACATTGGTCTTGTTGCAAAAAAAAAGCCAATAGCATATTGCGGTGTATTAACAGGAGTGTCAATTACAAGTCAAGTGAAGTGATTCTTCCACTTTACCCAGCACTGGTGAGGCCTCATCTAGGAAGCGGTCTAGTTCAGGGATCACGTTTTGGGCTCCACACTCCAAGAAAGACATAGAGAGATTAGAAAGAGTCCAGTGAGGAACAAGAATGATTAGATGTCTGGGAAACATGACTTATGGATAAAGGCCAAGAGATCTGGGAATATTTAGTGTGGAGAAGACAGAGGGAGGATTCGACAACAGTCTTCAAATACCTGAAGGGTGCTTATACAGAGGATGCTAATAAACTATTTTCTGTGGCTAGAGACAACTGGATAAGGAGCAATTGCATAAATTGCATAAACTGCAGCAAGGAAAATTTAGATTGGCTATTAAGAAAAGCCTTCTCACATGAAGGTGGTTAAGCACTGAAACAGGCTGCCTGGACAGGTTGTGGGATCTCCATCTACATCCCTGAGTTCTGAAGGAACTGGCAGAAGGGATCTCAGAGCCCTAGGCAATTATATTTATCAAGTCATGGGAAACATGAGGTACCAGAAGACTGGAAAGGGGTTAACATAGTGCCGTCTTATAAAAGTCAAAGAGGAGGATCTGGAGAACTGTAGTCCAGTTATCCTGACTTTTGTACTTGGAAAGTTACTGGAGCAATTTATACAAAGTCCATTTGGAATCATCTGGAGGAGGAAAAGCTGATCATGAACAACCAGCCCATACTGGCTAAGATCAAATGCCCAGAAACTGAATCAGCCAAAACCCAAGGCTACTAGACTTAGACTAAGCATCAGAAAAGAAGCAGGTGAAAGGAGTCTGCCCCCTCCCTCTCAGCCCCATAATTCAGTGGCTAGGGCTCTCACCTGGGACACTAGACATCTGGTTTCACTAAGTGAGGAGTTGAATTGAGGTATCCCAGCACAGTACTCCAATCACCATACCCCAGGTCATTTATTATTCACTTCCTTCTCCAGTGCTCCTTTGGAAATTGAGACACTAATATAGTCATTGGAAAAAATAGATGAAGGGCAGTGTAGGGGGAGAGCTTGTCCCTTACTGGGAGGAAGGGCCCCACCTAGACACCAGAGCCTCCTCCATTCCAGGCTAGAAGTCAGTGCACTGAGCCACATACCTGCTGGATTGTTCCTTTCCCCCTGGCTCCTGTACTGGTATCTCTCACAGACCTCTCTGTCATAGCTTCCCAGTGGGCTGTCTTCAAAAGAAGCACTAGTAAAAGGACTGGAAAATAGTTGACCTGTAGCATGGTGGCTAGAGTACTATGCTGGGAAGTCAGTCACTCAGGTTCAAAATACCTTTTGGTATGGGCATAGCCCAGAAGTTAGTTCTTTTTGCTTTCTAGGTAAGTATTTTAGTCACTGAACTATTTAGGGGAAAAGACAGAAGCTCACCTGTATGTAGCTGTCCATGTGCACGAGGCTATGCATGAATAGAATGTCAACCTGTATTTAAGTGGCATTTTTGTGACCTAGATGACCACGGGCCTGTCTACATGTCACCCTACAGAGATGCTGTTACTGTATTGTGCTTTAGTACTTTCTTTTGGAAGAACTAAAGCATGGCACAGTAACTGCCTGTACTGCACTGTGCGTGTGGCACATGATTAGTTTTAGCCGCTTCTTTGCTGTAGTGGCATGCTAAAATAGAGGAGCATGCTGTTACAGTGAAATAGCCGATGATCACATGTAGACTCATGTGATCGCTATGTCGCCATAGCATGTCATCTGGCAATGTACCACGTCACTATGGTGATGTAGGGTGACATGTAGACATGCCCCATGTAGACTGCCAAATGTAGAATGCCACTACTATAGCATACCAAGGTGATCAGAGGATCAGAAACAGCCAACATGGATTTGTCAAGAGCAAATCATGCTTGACCAATCAGACTTCCCCTTTTACAATAGGATTGCGAGGCAGCAGTGGGTGTGATATGCCTTGATTTCTGCAAGGGTTTTGACACTGACTCCCATAGCAGCCTCATTAGTAACCTAAGAAAATACAGTCTAGACAAAAGTATGGCAATATAGACAATTAACTGGCTAAATCATCATGCTTGAACCAGTTCAAACTGCCTGTGAGTGAGGGGGGAGTAGACCAGGGGTATCCTACTTTCTGGACAAAAGGCCTTACCCACTCAGCTACAGGAGCTAAAACATGGGAATGCAGTCTTCTTCCAGATTTACTTGCATACATGGCTGTGTACCTGCCCATCCGGTGCATAGCTTACTGTGCAAATTCAGTAGCTGCATACACTTCACATCCATGCTGCATGGGTAATAACATTGTAATCTGTATGTAAGTGCTGAAAACATCTTTTACATGACTATGTAGACTCCATTCAGGCACACACAGAGTAACTGCTTTCTGCTCTAAATGCTTGGTGCATGGTGCCATGTGTGAAATGAAATGGTGGATGTCAGTCTAGTTCAGATCCTAGGGATAAGGGACCAAATTCAAATTCAGACATGTGGAGAGCCTTTCCTGGAGAAGCAGCTCAGTTGAATTTTCCCTCTAGTGCTCTCATCACAGAAAGCATTTACAGAGTCAGGACCCTCAATGACAATCTCAATAGAGAACAAGAAATGAATGGTGAAGGAGAACAGAATTCCTTCACTGCTTCTGTTGAATTCTCCAGCCTAGGGCTGAAGCACATCATAAGGTTTGGAAAGCAAATTTGCACCTTCACTAACTATGTATAACCTCTTATACACAAAAGGCCAGCTCCTAGTTTGGTTGATGTCAGTGGGTAATCTCAGATCTGCCATTTTGCATAGATAGAAGCACTGGTTCTAGGACTGTCATTCAGATGCCATCATGCATTCCCCTTGCCTAGTCTCAGGATTCCTGGGTAGTCTCTTTCTCTTCCAACTATTTGTTTTTCTGGCAGCCTATCCTAGTGGAAGATGTAAAGACCTCTAAAGGTGGAGGGAAGGAAAGGTGAATGCTTTCACAAGCTTTACTTACATGTCCATGAAGGTCTGTGTTTAGCAGCATCAGGGCACAGGTAAGTGTATGAATCCCATCTGAAATTCAATTAATACATTCAATCAATTGTTAATTATATCTCTGCACACTGTTTTCTTCAGAGCAAATTGTTCCCTCTATTGAACAACCTGGGAAGATGAATTGTTTGTTTCCTGTCAAGGTTTTAATGGAATTTGATTTTACAACATATTCAATAGATTTGCTAGTTGGCAAAGAGGGAAAGAATTCAGACAATGGCAGAGATGTAGAAGAATGATTATTGGTATGCTGGTATTTTCTGGCTCTGGGCTCCGGTATCCATTTGTATAAAAACATTAATGAACTCTGTATTATTTTCTAATACATTTTTATATACCCTAACTTTTGATTGCTCTCTGGGTCAACATTGCATTTTGGATTGAAAACTTCTCCAAGCTATTCATTGTGATGCCTAGATCTTTCTTTTCCCAATGTTCAGTTAGTTAAATTAGTATCCAGAAATGTATGAATCATTATGATTGTTCCTTCCGATCTAGATTACGTCACATTTCAGTAACTATACTAATGCCTTTCCACTTGCTTGGACTCTCTAAAGTCCCTCACTGTCTTCTCCAGGATAGACTAACCTTAATAACTGTGGGTCATCTGCTACGTATGCCACTTCACTATTCATCCCTTTTTTTCAGATCATCATTAAATGTAGTAATTGACATAGTCTTTATATACAATCATGTAGAATCTCCATGTTACATGCCTTCTATATTGAAAATGGACTGTTTATTCTTACATTCTATTGTTTGCCTCTTGAAAAGTTTAGGACTCTGCCACTCACCCCTTGACTTAATGTCCTTAGTAACTTCTTCTTAAGAGTTTTGTTCAAAACTTGATGGAAATTCACAGTAGAGTATATCTATTTTTCCTTATTCCTTTTTTTTTTTTGTCAATATAATCCAAAACTGGAATGGAGAATGAAGCAGACACAATTTTGCTTTGCATAAGTCAATCTGATTGTCTCCATTAGGACATGAACATTTACATAATTACTCTGTCTTTATTTGTTACTTCTATCTGGCCTGCTATCACTTGAATAGGCACAACATTAGCTACCCCAGCTGGCTAGTTGAGTCACTGATTTAATACCTGGGAGAAATTTTACCATCTTTGAATTCTTCTTTGCCTGACAAAGGGTGTTTGGGCCTGAAAGCTTGCAAATAAAAAATAGCTTTTTTTGGAACTATCTAGTTGGTCTAATAAAATATATCACCTCTACCCAGAGTTTTGTCTACCTATGCTTTTGTGAGCATTTTATCTCCTTCATTCTTTGCAATGTCTAGACATGCACCATACAGCCACAATCTAAGAACAGATCATCCCTCCAGCCCTGTAGATAACGAGGCAAATACAAGGGGCAGGTCTAAATTACTCTTCTGCTGCACCCAGGAAAATGGCCACGGAGCATATCCCACCCACTCTGTGCACACTGGCTTCCAAGAAAAAGCGATGTCCTTTACCATGGATCAAACATGCACCAGAGCTCCTCTTAGTCTCCCTGTCTCAGGTGTGCTTATTGCTGGACACTCTGACAGTTACACTGATTCATTTCTTGGATTTGGTGTGCACAAAGTGGGAACAAGACATATTTCCTGGCAGTGCAACTAGGTGTGGCACAAACCAGTATACACAAGTGTCCACCCCTTTGTGCAGCAAGACCTAAGGACAGCCCTGTGCATATGAACCTCTTCACACATCACAAATGGGTTGAAGAGCAACAGAGAAGGGGAAGAATCATATCCCTGAAGGTAGGTAAAATGTTTTTATCTCTATCAAGCTCTTTTACTTGAACGCCTCTGTCTCCATGCACAAACACTGACTTCTGTGAAGCTTCTGTGCTATGTTTGCCCAAGGCATTCACAAATAAATGTTCCACAGTCACACGTGTGGAAAAGGATGCTGTCACACTGGCAGGCACAGAATATATTGTAAACATATAGTACAACTATACATGCATTGGCATTAACAGATTCAACAGAAAGTAACTTAAGATTCATATATGCAGATTCAACACATTTTCATATCTCACACAAAGAACATGGTCCTGTTTCTAAGTTGACTTGGATAGCCCAGCTGCGATTTCCCCTTACACGATCTAGGCTAGGGAGTCCTAGAGCAGTACAAAGTGGTGGGAGTGCTTGTGGACCCTTTCTGCAAATATGGACAATCATTGCTACGCAGTTTAACAGCATCAAAGGCCTCAAGTATCTGGAATAAGCCCATGTGCCAAGAGGACATGGCTGTTTCCTTGTTTATGATGAAACAGGTATGACTGAATGCATCAATGTCCCATTAATACAAAGCTATTTGCTGTCTCTGTGATGCTAGAATTAGGGAGCCAGCTTCTGAGACTTTTGCACAAGTTTTACCCACTCCAGATTTATGTAGATACCTGCTGGATCAAGTAGGACTGAGCAAAATCTAAGCCTGTAGGATTTGGTCTGCAATGAAATATCTAAGATCTCTGTGAGCATTCCCAAGTACAAATTAATAGAAATGCCTCTCTGCTGAGTGGAGTGGGAGAGAACATCACACAAACACACACACACACGAAAGGAATCCATCAAACTGGAATATAAAAATATACATATTGGAATAGCACCAATAAAAGCAATGAGATTGTTATGACTTAAAAATTGCTTGTGTCCATTAAGCTCGGCAGAGCAATTTGAAAGTTCACATGGTGCTAACCACTTTAGCTCTTTGGGAAGCTGTGAGGCAGATTTGAAAATTAGCTTCTCAGTTACAATTGGCATATTAAAAACCAAAGGAGGAAAAAAAACAATTGACATTTTTGAACTCCTTGTTGAGGGCAGCCAAGTGGCCTAATTTTCTAGCTCTGGCAGTGTCTGTGTGCATGTAAAAGTGATTGTATATGTGTGTGTGTGTGTGTACCCATGGGTATATGAGTGTATATGGATACCTAGGGGCAGAATTCAGTTTCATTTAGTAGATAATTATTATCCCCTTTAGGAGCCCCTTTATTGCCCCCATTGTAGGAACAAAGAAATGTCTGTGCATCTCCAGAGGGAGAGCTTCTCTGGCTAGAGCTGGGTGATAAATGGATTTTTTTTTTTCAAATAAGCTGAAATATTGGGGAAATATTGACTTGACTCAAATAGAAACGGACATTTTCCAAAATTTTTTGAAAAAGAAAATTTCATTTTGCTTCAGTCCAAATATTTTGTTCAACCTGAAATGAAATGCTAAGTCAAAACATTTAATCAGAAAAAACTGTCAGAGAACACTTCAGCATTTCCTAAATAAGACATTTCATTAAAAAATGTTAAAACATTTTGACATTTTAAAAAATATTTCCGCCATTTTTTGCCCAAAACTCTTCACAGAAATGGACCCAATGCATGAAAGATTATATTTCTAGCAGATTAACTAAATCAACCAATCTGTGTGTGTGTGTGTGTCTTTATGACTGAAGATCTGTGTGTATGTCTGTGCATGAATACAGCAAGGGCGGGCAGTTATTTCAGGCGGAAGACCACTTACCCAGTTTTGTCACGCTGTCGAGGCCCGCATGGGTATCCCTGCCCCTTGACAGGTGCCCCACCCCCTGGTCACCATCTTGAGACCTGTCCCAGGGCCAGCATTGGTGGGGCCCAAAGCGGGGCATAGGCTGGCAGGGGTCTGTGTGAGCCGGGCTGGCTGCACCAACAGGGAGAGGGGGGAGCTGGCTCAGCTCCATAGAGCCCCTGCTGGCTGGGACCCCACACTCCTGCCACCCTGCTCTAGGCCCCACTGGTACTGGTCCTGGGACACTGGTGTGGGTCCCATGCTCCCGCTGGTTGCTGCGCCTGTTCACTCCCAGTGCCCCCCCAACCCCACGGTACAGGCGGGGGGCAGCATGCAGCCCTGACCCCCTGCTCTCCGGCAGGAAAGGAGCTGGTGCTGAGTGCGGGGGAAAAGTGGCCCCACCCCTGCCCCAGGGCTGGCGCTCCCTGCTGCAGCTGCTCACAGCCCGCACGAGGCTGTCTTGAGAAGGCACAGGCAGCCCCATGCAGGCTGCGAGTTGCTGCAGTGTGGGGTGTCAGGCACGAGGTGGTTGAGGGGCTGCTTTTCCCCTGCACTGAGCACCAGCTTGTAACCCACCCCTGCTGCCAGCCTCGGCCCCATGCTGGCTCTGGGCTTGCCCGTTGGGGCTGTGCATGACGGCAGCAGCTGCGACCCCCCTGCTTGCTGCACCAGGCAGTGTTTGCTGCTGCTGCTGCCTGCCCAGAGCTTGCACGTTGGTCAGCCCAAAGGGAGCAGTGGCAAACACTGCTGGGCATGGCAAGCAGCAGGGCCACAGCTGCTGCTGCCATGCACAACCCCGATGGGTGAGCCCAGAGCTGGTGTGGGGCCCAGGCTGGCAGCAAGGCTGGGTTACAAGCTGGTGCTGAGCATGTGGTATGGGGAAGCAGCCCCTCCCCCACTCTGTGGCCAGCGCCCCACGGTGCAGCCACTCGCAGCCCACCTGGGGTTACCTGTGTCTGCTCAAGACAGCCCAGCATGGGCTGCGAGTAACTGCAGCAGGGAGCACCGGCCGTGGGGCAGGGGAGGGGCTGCTTTTCCTCACGCTCAGCATTTCCCCGAGCCACTTTTCCCCAGGTTCCTTCCCTGCCTGGTGTCCTCCCCTGCCTTCCCCTGGTCTTACCTGAGGTTCCCGCACCAGGGCAGCCACGTGATCCGGCTGGCGGGGCAGGACCAGGTGGGCCCTGCTGTTGTGGGAGCCCGCTGGGGCTTCCCCTTGGTCCTACTGCCCCTGGCTCCTGTCATTTTTGACAGGAACCAAGGGTAGATAAATATTAATTTTCTAAAATTTTTACGGGCCCCGCAGGCTGGATAGAATGGCCTCATGGGCCGGATCTGGCCCATGGGCTGTATTTTGCCCACTCCTGATATATAGAGACCTACATAATTTGCGGTCTTGCAGATTTCGTGGAAACTGTAAAATCCAGGATTGTCTATGAAATCCACAAAATCAACAACAAAAAAACCTTAATAAAAATAAAAT